CGTCATTGCACATAATTGCCCTGTCTCTGGTTGCTTGTCATGAGCTGTTGGCAATTGTTAAAATTAGCTTTACAGTTTGCCTCAGATTAGCAGCAAGTGTGGTAAATGAGGGCTCGCTCTTAATGAAACTAATTTGTATTTGAAAATATAACTACATTTATTGCCCCCATTATTTAAATATGTACATGCTCGTTGATAGGAAAAAAATGAACCTTTCAACTCCAGTTTTTATAAACACTAGCTGAAAAATCATCTTTTAAGGAGGCGATCCTTTTTGAAGTGGTTTTTCCAGTGTTTTATGGGCATCTTGGGAAGCATTTCAGAAACAAATTAGAAATCCTCTTAAAATAAAATTTTTTTAATTTCAACATTTAAAATGACACAGGGCATCATGCCCCATTGCTAATCAGCTTTCTCTGAAACCAAGTCTGTGGTGATGTGCTCTCTGTTTATATCGCAGCAATTTTCTCTGAATGCCCCGCACTCCACCCAGACTCCTGGAACAGCAGCCCTTCTGCACCTTTGAGCATCTGTTCATTGTCTTCCTCTTCCTGTCACTTGCCACCTCCTTGAGGGCAGACCTGGTCTTTCCATTTTTATATTTCCTAATCGAGCACCAGACTCAAAGCAGAGCTTAACAAATGCACGTTGAATGAATGAATGCATGAATTTGGGACATAAATTCCCTCCCTTACGGAGCCCACAGTCTTTGCATGAAGCTGGTCCACCAAATACCAAAGACACACCCCACTGTAGGTTTGATTCAGAAAGAGTTGGTTTTCCAGAATGTCACTGCTTGAGGGCTCTTTGCTACTTGGTCATTTGCAATGTCGAACGTCCCCTCCTTGCAGTTGGGTCCAAGAACCTCCCGGTAATGGCTTTATTTTCCTCCCTAGTCAGCATCTGGCTCCTAATGACTTTGGGTCAGTTTCTGCTAGAGGAATATAAGTATATTTTCACTCTTTTCCTGCTGTCTCACCATAGAAATGGGAAAAGACTTCTTCTCTTTCCTCTGCCTTTCAAGGCCTCTTAGATGGTTTTTCTTGGTACCTTAATGCTAGAGAGATCCGTACACATGGCTGCAGGGATGTCTTCTAGGAAGACAAAGATATAAAAAGAAGAAAAAGCCTCCTGAATGATTGCCAAATAATTAAAGCTGATCCGACGATCAACTCCCATATAAAAATATGTGACCTGATTTACATTAGGTGTCAGTGTGAAGTGGCTGTAGGAATTTGGAGGAGCAGAGCTATAGGGGTTGGAAAAGCACTGGGGGAATTTCATCACACACAGGTGGTTTTTAGCAAGTGTCCTTTACAAAAACAGACAACTACAACAAAAGGAGAATTAGGCATGAATAGCACTGCTGCTCATGATTTCACTCGGTGAGCTGATGCCCCAGAGTGAAGAGGGACGGAGGGGCCAATCCAGTGGTCTCTAAGAGAGTCTCATCTTCCACCATGCCTCTGGTGGCATCAGCATCTGGCCACCCGGAGTGTGTAAAGGGAATCATTCTTCATTAACAGGACCCTGAACTGACCCTACTCCTAGGTATTACCCTAGAGAAGAGAAAAGTTATGCCTCATAAAAACTTCTCATGAATGTTTATAGCCACTCTATTCATCAACCCAACCTGGAAACAACCCAGAAACCCTCGCAAGGGTGAAATGGCTAAAACAAGGCCCCCTAGATACAGGCCAACCTCCACCAGTACTTGACCAAGCAGGTGGCAGGCCGTGGTCATTTTGAGCAAACTTGGGGTATAAATTACAGATTGCATGATGAGCCATCCTAAAACTTAGAGGCTTAGAATAGCAATAATGGTGTATTTTGCTCGGGAATCTTTGTTTTTGGCAGGTCTTGTTGGAAACAGCTTGTCTCTGCTCCACATGGTGTCTGTCCATGGCTTAACTGAGGCAGAGGCTCAGCTTCCAAGACGGCTCGCCCATAAGGTGGCTGGCACGTTGGTTCTGGCTTTTGCTTCCTCTCCACATGGGCCTCTCCTTGGGCTTCTTCATGGCATGGTGGCTGAGTTCTAAGAGTAGGCATTCCAACAGTCAGGCAGTGAATGCTCCAGTTTGGGTCATTCTGCCATGTTCTATTGGTCAAGCAGTCATGGAGCCCAGATTCAGAGGGGGTGATTTAGACCACATCTGAATGTCAGGAGTGCCAAAGGGTTGGAAGACCACATTTAAAAACCATCTTATTTATCATATACCAGCTGCTCTACTAGAGACTTTTACCCCTGAGGAAGATGAGCCTGAATGTGTACATGAGGGAACATATAGCCATGCCAGAAACCATCTTGCCTGCAGCAGGCAAGGCTGTTCGCTTCACCCTTCCCACCTCTCAAAGGCCCTTACCCAACCTTTGCCCCAAGCGTCTTGTGGGACTGGAATGTGAGCATAGTTTGGGAACAGTCACGTTTATAAAACTCTACAGTAATGTAAGGCACTATTATATCTTATTTACCCTCCTTTTGTAAACTACATTTTTGTGACTTATTTTAGCTTAGTAGTGACTGAATAGAGGTATTTTTGGAATGATATAGAAGTCTTTTCTATAGGGTGTCCCCAAGAATGTATACACACTTTGAATAGTTATAAAGGCAGCGTTTATTAAAACACATTTCATTTTCAAAATTGAGCTATCAACTGTTAAAGTATACATTTTGGGAGGACAACCCTGTATTTTGACAGGGGTAGGGGTTCGTGGAAGAATGAAGGAATGAACTGAAAGGAATGCAGGTGTCCCTGTAGTAGGGTCCTGGACACAAAAGAGTAAGAGGTACAAATTCACACTAAGGTTTTGGTGGCCAGCAACTTCTTCACATGCCTCCCTTTCCAGAGGGAGCTGTGCTTTAGGAACAGTTGCTTCAGCAGGGTTGCACACACTCCAAAGAAATGAATCTCTAAAGTTTGAGACCCCAAGGATTCACTGATATTACAGTTTTAATACTGTTTGGTGCTGTTTCTCTTTTCTTTGTCTGATCACATAGGTGATTTGCCTAGAGCTGCATCACATCCTGTGAGACAGACACAGTGCCCTTTGGGGTGAACTTGGGCAGAGGCTTCAAGTCTGGCTGATTGAAACTCAAAGTTTTAAATCGGGAGAGTTTCTCTAATGCTCCTCAGCACACCTCCTCCACCACCACCACCTGACCCAACCTCGCCTGAGCCTAACCTTCTCCTTTTTATCTGCTGTCAGGGAACCCATCCTATAGAGGAGAAATTAAATCACACTAAAGTGTTAGTGCCTACCTGGAGCTTAGTTTGTTGCTCTTCTCATGGAGATATTTGTGGTTTCCAAGGAGATGCTGAGGTAGAGTGATTCTGATTTCAAAGGAATGAATCTCTAATGCTAGAACTTACCTAACAGGGTAGCAAGAATGAGAGGGTTTTTGAGGAAGATGTTTCTTCTTGGAGATCCTCAAACACTCAGTCCTTCTTAGGAAGTGAGTGACTTGGCGAGCCTCTGGGTTATTTCCAGTTCTGTTCCTGTGGTAACATTGCTCATTCCACCTGGGTTACCTGGTCCCCAGTACTTAGGAGCTTCCCATGTCCACTTTTCTTCTGCTTTGTCAAAGCAGATGCCAGCTGGCTGGCTTTTTAGCAGTTAAATATGCAGCCTCTGTACAAATCAGCTATTAAATCTGCACAACTAGAGTATTTTACAAGTAATCAGTTCATGCAGATTGCACATAAATCATGTCTGCTCTGGCCCTTTGGACGCTAATGCTCCCTTATTAAGGCATAAGTAAGCCTTCCTGTTCTCATCCATCCTTCCAGACTTTTTTTAATTACTGAAAAGTATAGCCTGGTTGTCACTACACCACCCTCTTCCACTACCCACCCCCCCTACCTTTTCTGAGGTTCATTTTGTTTTTCTGGAGCTTGCCAAACTGCCTTAGGAAGCTGGTACCTCGTGAATGGATTGAGCAAAAGGAAATTCTTATCTCTAAAAGGAAGCGGTTACCACGTTTCTGTCTGTGATATTCTTGGCCAGTTAAAATTTCTGTGAAATACAGTCCGATGGCAGCACCAGCACCCCAGGGAGGGGGGAAGTATTGGTTGTCCTCGGCGCACAAAAGGAAAATACCTTCCAGGGAAGTCTGGTGGGGGTGGGGATAAAAAGTCATTTCATGAATGTCATTCTGCCCCAGTAAACGGAGAGCCTTCGTTGTTTTTCACTGAAGACCGAAAGCTCAGCCACCCTACTATGCACATTATTTTAACATTCTCCCATTTTCTTTTCAAACTTTAGCTACACATCTTCGCTCTAATACACGCGGATTTCTGCTTCCAATTTCTCTAGCCCTGCTATTACTGCTCGGCCAGTTTTTCTTTTGGTCTAAAATGACTCTCTAAGAGTGTGGAAGCATAGTATTATTCCTGTGGTTTGGTCTAAAAAAGAAAAATTGGGGGCCTTTAGTCGAGGCCCATAAAAATACCACCGTCTCCTTTTAGAGATGTTTTATGAATATAAATTCCTGTCTAAATAGTTACTGCTGAGGGTAGAAAGGACTTTGGAGTTTGGAAATTGTAACAACTTATTATTTTCCCTTAGCAACCGCAGCAAAGGTGACACATCTTTCTTGTGTGTTTTTGTTTGTTTTTAGATGGGCTGACACCATAATGCGCCCTGTTGCTTTTTAGATCCGGTTTTTTAATCACAGATACAGATCATAGTGGAACTGAGGCACTCTGAAGTATTCTTTTCCTCGGATGGGGGAAAGATACGGAGCAGGTGTGCCTTGGTGTCATTTCAGAAATCACGGGATAGCTGGTAACGATGTCTTAACAGAAAGAGGAACCAGCCTGGGTACTGAGCGCAGGTCCTCTGGAGTTCGGGGCATGTATTAAATTATACTCTAGATTTCATAAAGGCTGAGGTCCTTTCTGTATTCTTCAGGAAATTACGGGGTCTTTTATACTACAGTGTTTAAAAACAAAATCTCCCCCAAAATCACCCCCACTCCTTTTCTTCCATTTTGCTGGCAGCTGCTGAGATGGGCTGTGGATTAAACAAGTTAGAGAAACGCGATGACAAACGGCCTGGAAATATCTATTCCACTTTGAAGAGGCCTCAGGTGGAAACCAAGATAGACGTGTCCTATGAATACCGCTTCCTGGAGTTCACTACCCTGAGCGCAGGTGAGTGCAGGCGCCCGGGTCCTGGGGACGCATGAGCGCAGACCCGGCCTCGCACCGAGGCCCCGCCTGGGCAGGGTCTTCAGCTGAGGCCGCCCCGTCGGTGTGG